CAGCATTGTTCGTGCGGCTACCCCACCGGATTCGTGCAATGCTGCGTAGCCAGCGGTGTTCAAACACCGACAGTCTACTTTTATCTTGTTTCCATAGATGTCTCAAGTTGACAAATGCCCCAGTTAGAGTAAGGCTGGGTGCTGGGCCAATCCAGTCTTGTAGTAACATTTTACACTTTGAAGGTGCAAAACGCATACCGAATATGGCTACGCTGGCATTCAGGTTATCCAGGAATGCTTGCAACTTACTTGGATCTTCACTTAGTAGCACAATGTCGTCTGCGTACTCCAGATCAGACAGCCTGCCTCCTGGGAGTAAATGGATACCTCTATCCTTGCACTAGGATACGGCTGTTTCCATAATCAAAGCTATAACAAAGTTGAATAGAAAAGGAGAAAGAGGGCAACCCTGACGAACACTACTTTCCGTGGTGAACTTGGGAGAAAAAGTGCCCTAAGCCCGGACTCGACTTCGGCTATTAGTATAAAGCGATCGTAATATTGAAATTAACTTCTCAGTCACGCCTTTCAGAGAAAGGCAGCGCCAGAGTTTAGAGCGGTCGACTGAGTCCAAAGCCGCTTCAGATCTAGGAAGACAGATGGTGGATCTACGAAAAGAATGTCGGTGCTCCCGAATTTGGCGCAGAGTGAAGATGTGGTCGATACAACCTCGGCCAGGTCTAAAACCAGCCTGGTTCTCACGCGTGCACCCTCCACGTGCGGCAGATAATCGGCGGAGTATGATGCCAGTGAGAAATTTAGAGACAATGTTGATTAAACTAATTCCTCTGTGGTTTTCACAAGAGGATCTATCACCTTTCTTGTAAATCGGTATGATCACCGATTCACACCATTCAGCTGGAATCTCTTCCCTCTTCCATACTGAACCCAGGAGTTTTGTCAACCCCAAGACTAACGCTGAGTCTCCATCCTTTAACACTGTTGGGAACAGCCCATCTGGGCCAGAGGCCTTATGCCTTTTGAGGTAACTTATTTCCCGAGATACCTCCATTTCAGATGCATCAACTAGTATCAACTGGGAGCATTTGTCCAGTCGAGGCGGAGAGTGAAAGATAAGATGTCGATGGGGGCCAGTTGAACTGAGCCTTGAAGTGTTCAGCCCAAAGGTCAAGACGGCGTTGCTGATCGTGAATCAGTGTGATTCCTTAATTACCCCACTTACGCCTATTTTCCTAGGGCCCGTATTCCTAATTAGATGGAAAAGGTTACGACTATTAGCAATAGCCGCAGCTCTCTCCATTTCTTTGCACTTTTCTACTCACCACTTCTCGCGGTCATTCCTCAAACTCTTGATGAGTTGGCGTTTAAGGGAGTTGCGCACTGTGCCGTATGTTGGATCGGGAGGGAGGGTTCTGCGAGGGTCCAGTAGGGCAAC